TCACTTAATGGAGGGTACATTTCAGAGCTACCCGGTGATGTTCTACATCCATGGAGGTGGCTTCATGATGGATTCCGCTGTGCGATACAAGCCTGAGAATATGGCACGGTGCGTTCTTTTTCGTCTTAGGACCTATATTTTCATAAATGACGTATTTTTCAGATTGATCGTAAGCCAAGAAGTTATCATCGTCACCATTCAGTACCGGCTTGGTTATCTGGGCTATTTTTGCACGGGGGACGGTGTCGCCAAAGGCAACTACGGTCTTTGGGATCAGCTTGAGGTGAATACTCCCCAAATGCTTCTCTGATATTCAATCACTGAAGTACCTTTCTTAGGCCCTGAAATGGACCAAAGAAAACATCCACCATTTCGGTGGGGATCCGAATCGGATTACGGTAGCAGGACAGAGTGCTGGAGCCGTCTCAGCCGACCTGCTCTCGATTTCGCCCCTCTCTCGCGGTGAGCTTTTCTACTACAAGTTAGGTCTCAGGTTTTTTAGGGATATCCTACCGCAAGTTATAGCTCTCACGTTTTTTTAAAGATATCCTAGGCATTTTTTGACTTCTGTCCTTCAGGCATGTTTAATCGAAAAATTGTCATGGGCGGAAATTCCTTCTGTTATTGGGCCACCACCACAAAGGAGAAGTGTGCTGAATATTGCCGGCAGAAAGCGCTCAAACTTGGCTGGAAACCTCGACCGGAAGGTGAAGTTTTGTTTTCAGCGCTTTTGAGAGTCTTTGAAGCATTGCGCTGTGTTAAATCAAAATTTTCAAGGATATCACTCGAAGGAGGAGGAAAGCCAAGACATCCTGGATTTTATGCGAACAGTGCCGGCTCGAAGGTAAGCAAACACTTCTTTTCCGCCCCCTTACCCACCCAGTTTTCCTGCAAACCCACAGTTTTGCAGGCTAGGCATGCATATGGTCGGCAATGATGTGTTCTTCAATGAAGCTCGACTTCCGCTGGCGCCTGTGATTGACGGCGAAATTCTCCCGAAAGCGATTCCTGAACTTCGCGCCGAAGCGCCTCCGATGGAATCGCTTACCGGCGTCGGACGGCAGGAATCCTTTCTATTCAGTGAGTTTTTCCCCGTTTGATCTGTTGATCTTTGATATCGAGCCCTTGGGAAGATTGAACGGTGTTGTTTAGTGGCTCTGGGAGCAATTAGAGGCACTGGCAAGGATATGGACAGACTCGTTCACGAATTTGCTCGTCAAAATCAACTGCATGTCACCGAGGTGGAGGAATTGGTCGAGCGAGTCTATGGAAATCTCGACGAACTGCGTCGAGATCGAAAAGCCATGCAAGACGCATACAGCACGGTGAGTAACCTGTAACCTTGCCGAGTTGGATCCTTATCGTTTTTTGCTCGATTTAAACAATTCATTGGTATGCGCCATGTCTCTTGGAGTCTCGCCGGTATACCTTTATTGATTCCTGGCACTGCGAAAAAAAGCAAGATTGCTCATTATCGGCATGAACCAACGCTTGGCTGACTTTATATGGAGTTGGGAGGAAGACATTTGTACAATCGAATGATTATGTGCGAGCTACTCCCAAAAATGATGCGCGCTTCTTAAGCAACTCACTGAGGAGCTGAAATTTTGTCACTCCCAGCGTGGAGCGCTGCTGCCACTTCTCTTGAAGCAGCGGCTCACAAGGCGTCCGTCTGCGTCTCGCCCGTCTCCTATGCTCTCTCGTGTCCCATCCTATTCTCTTCTATCGGCACACATTGACCCTGGTATTATGCTGGCCTATCTCTCTCGTAGACTCATCTAATTTCCAAAAAGGCCTCTGTTTGTAGTGTTTCCTGTCGTCTGTTTTCCTTTTGTGTTTAATTCCGGTGCATTTTTCAAAACTTCTTTCATCTTCGTGGGCTTGAATAGATGTAGAATGTGCCTTCAATATTGGAAGTATGACAGCGAGCAAACGCTTCGCAAATTGTGACCTTGCTTCAATTTTGGGCTTTTTTCTGCCAATATTAGTCAATTTGATAGGCAAAATAATTGGGTCAGTGGACAAAGAGTGCCACTTCCACCCAAGCGAAGTTTGAGGTTCAGCTCTTGGCGACCGACTCTTCATCTTCCAAACCTGATGCATTTGTTCAGGACTTCCTAGAGGAGGAGTTGTGGTATCAATAAAAGCCAAAGCCCGTTATGTAGGGTT